CCGTACCGTACGTCTCTCTCTCTCTCTCTCTCTCTCTCTCTCTCTCTCTCTCTCTCTCTCTCTCTCTTCTTTTTTCTCTTCACTTCGGCAGAGAGTCTGGATCCAGTTTGTGCACGAGCCCAGAAAATGCCTCTCGAAAATATCTTCCGAACCCCTTTCTTGCTGCGGCTAATAGATGACAACCCTTTTCACCTGGCTCAACCCTTTCCAGATTTAGGAAAGATCTGGTCTGAGAGAGTCCTTTGAAAGATTATGTGTTTTTTCACGCTACTTCAAAAGTGTGTCTATAAAAGCGATCACGAATCGAAGCGATCATGAATATAATGGAGTACAAACTTGTTAAAGAACACGCGAGTGTGGTTATTTATCGACACAAAAAAAAGATATATAACTTGTTTCTTTTTCGAATGCGCATTTGATAAAATATGTGGGTTAGACAGAAATTATTGCTGACTTCTCGATGTAATTACCTTATAAAACATTCAATGATTATGTTATACAACAAAACGTTGCACGGTTATTAAAATCAATATTTTAAAGAGTTTAACTAGCAGTTTTAACAACTAAAGCATATGCCGCCGTCTATGCCGGGATCTGACGAACTGTTACTTCTTTTCTTTCGTATACGAATCCATTAGGATAGTAAAACATGAAGATGTTAGTCGGACTAACAATAAGTTTGGAGAGTGGTTTTGGGGTTTGACTTTGGGTTTGACCCTAATTTTCACAGAGATTTAACCCTCCTTTTACTTAACGAAGGCGGAGGAATCTTGAGGAAAGGGCACTTGGAAAAGGAGAAAAATTGGCACAAACAACTCGGAATTTTCTCGACTCTAATCCCGGCGTTAAACGAAGGTAGGAAGGGATGAACGACGCACCGGGCCTTTTGTCGAGAAATCCCGGCGTGGCAAACAAAAACGAGACAGTGCCGCCGAGTCACGGCTCTTCCGAGATGTCTTCGAGAGCAATCCCGGCGGAGGGCCTAGGTCCGCGAGTAAATATCGGTGAAAGGCCGTCGAGGACCGCAAACAGGAAACTGACGATGTGTCACCAGAAACGGTCGGAGGCAACGATCCTGACGGCGACAGGGCGGCTGAAAGGACCTCGTTGCTCCCGTTTTAAAGCGACACCGCGTGCGCTTCTTCAGGCGCTAGTAAGCATTAGGCGTGGGAACATTTGACAGAATGAGAGCCGTAGGGGCGGATCTGTTTTTTAAATAGAAGCCGAGGTACACGCGATCCTGTGATGCACCATGTATTCCATTAATAACCGGTTCGAATACCCGACGATGCGCACATAAGAAATATCACAAAAGATAATTAGATCTTGTTTGTGTAAAAGCGAGTACGACTGTGGGGATGAATTTTTATGCTGATGATGATACACGCGCATGCTTTTATACGCCGTCACTTCTGAGTCACGTCCATTCGAAATGTATGATGATATATATATATTATTTTTTTTTTTTCTGTTCCTTCAACTAGCTCCAGGCACAATCCGATGGCAGGTTCACGGATACCGCTCTTTATTAATTGTCGGCGATCGTCTCTTTCTTCGCGGTCCAAGCGCGTTATCGTCATTACGGCTTCCCGCTAATGAAGTAGTTCGATTCCAGCGAGCCGTTTCGCCGCGGGACATCCGAAATACTGGAAATACTGGAATCGCGAGCGACCTTCCCTCACGTCGCTGGAGATTATCTTTTAGACGCATTCTCTCGGTTGCAGCCTCGACAACTTCCATTTGGCATTCAGATACGCCACCCTTACTCTAGATACTCCAACGACTTCTCTCTGCTCTGACATTGTACTCCGTTCTATTAGTTGCATTTCTTCAAAGCTGCCGTTCCCACGCAAGCCTACCGGAGCGATATTTGTGAAGCATCAGCATGGTAAAAGCGCTTTCGTTCTAAAATCTGATGTTTTTATCAGACGGTAATAACATCGAAAAGCGGACGTTTTTTTATCGCGCGCGACACGTATACTGTATTTATATAATTCTTTCGAGGATATAATGGACCACCGAGCCGTCATTTATGAAATGTATCTTGCTCGATTTACCAGATTTAGCAGAATAACGGATTCGCAGTAATTTTTTATTTCGTTTTCCCTCCGCACCTACACCCATTCCACCGTGACCCACATCTATGTATATCGAATGACGTTCTGATGAATCGCGTCCGACGAGAAGGTACAGCCGAGAAACTATTTCATAGGCGCGAAATTCGGTATCGTTCGATACGTGCTCGACATATCGCTCGATCGCTGAATCAATTCCAATTTCGCCCGGCCCTCGTGGTAGCGCGTGCACAGCAACGCGCGCACTCCATACGTCCGCGACGGGACGGGACAAAAAAAAAAAATAACACATCGAGAAAACGGGGAGAATTCCTTTTTCAATTTTCCGAAAAAAATTAAAATGGGGAACAATCGGTCTGTCGGACGGAGAGCGACCGAAACTCGATCAAATGTGCCTCGCAGCTTTAATTATCCAGCGCCCAGCGGCGGAGCTTACAGAAGTATGGTCGAACGGCGCTCGTGATTTGTTTAGTAATGGATACGTGCCTGTGTAGTGGTGTTCGTTAGTTGACATTCAGCGATAGACCGATATGGGACGCGGCTTATCCGGGAGATAGCATTTTCCCCGTCTCTGTCTGCCCCGTCGCGCCTGCCTCGCCGTGAATTTTTTCCCCGGCGTCGTCACATCTGCATGTATTCCGCGCGGGAATGGAAAACCGCACTCTAAGATAATATTTAATACGATCCGCGTTTCACGATCTCGCGTAGGCCTCGATTGCTTTGCCAACGGGGAGTATCGTACGTGGCGAACGCGTACGTGCGCATACACGATTGGCTCTCGTAACGGCCTACACGTGTATTCGCGCCGCGTGCAAATAGGCACGCGGACATCCGCAAGCCGCGCACGCTCTCGCGCGGGACGCCGGAGACGCCGGGAGAAGATGCACGAATCGTATCGGGGTGTACATTGGATCGCCTCGGCTTCGGCTGCACGCGGGGCTCCGTTGCATGCGTCGCGTGCACGCACACGCACGCTCGTTCATTACGGACGGGCTTCGCGTGTCCCGAGGCGTCGTGCGTGTGAACTTCGACTCTCGCTGCGGTGGCTCGGGGGCCATTTTGCTGTCCGCCGTGCGAGGAACGCCGATTCGATACGTGTCGTGTCGTGTCGCGGGCACTGGATTCCACGACTCGTTATCATGAGGATCGGTCACGAAAATCGCGTCGTGATCACGATTGAGGAATCAAATCCCTCCCCCGATCAAATCCGTCCGCGAGCGGAGGATGCGTCACGTCAACGATTCCGCATCAGCGTTCGATGATCCTCTTACGTCTTGGTATCCACATGTTGCGACGTATTTCATTTAATGTGATTATCCGCTACAATGTAGGATAACGAATTGGTCTCCAAAGGATTGATGGTCGCGTTTGGTGTGTGGGAACCTTTACATAGTCGCGAAATCACTGTCAATGAGACCGCGTTTATATCTCCGTGCTCGCACACCGTTGACGATTACGATCGTCGCGACTTTTGCAATTTGCGTAAGTTATCG